CCATATTAAGATATTAACAAGACTAGTACTTAAAAATCCTAAATGACGTCCAAAAGTCATATTTCATGGACGATATTGGGTGCAAAACACAGTTTTATGTATTACGTTATCAGGACGTTACTTGGTGAGGGACAAGCAAAACTGGTCCCTGTAAAGAAATAAAATGGAGGCTTGTTACATATGCTTCTGCATATCAATGGAAAGATAAAATTGTGAATTTAATAAATATCCAACTATAATACATTCATCAATTACTACTAGGGAGTATTTGACACCTGAAATATGGGGGATATTGGGTTGTTTATGTATCCATTTTCAGCATTTTTAACCCCCCCCCCCCCCCCCTGCTCAACAAAAACAGAAAAAATCTGACAAAATAAGTTATGTGCATTTCACAGAACAAGTCCTAAGGTTTTCTTTTAGTGTGCTTTTAGGGTACATTTTCCACCTCTTGAAAGAGCTACGTTACCTGTTAATTGACTCATGCAATTCTGCACATGTGAAAACAAGATGTTTGGGGAGTTATCTCCCCCTATTAAAAAGTCTCACAATTTTTTTTTCTAAAAATGAATGCACATTTTTTTTCTTTAAATATTAAGAGAAGACTCTACTTTATGCGAATAAAAACAAAAAAAGATGCAGTTTTCATCTAGACTCCTTTAAATAGCAGGAAAATTCCTACCCAACATGCTTCTCTTTGGGAACCCCCCCCCCCCTGGATTTTATACTAAACTGTGTTTAGCTACGATTAGAAAAAATTGTTTTATTAAGAGGAATTATATACTGAACAGAAGTCTTCATATCAATTTACTGATGACCTCTATATTGCAACAAATTGAAAACATATCAACGTTTTGAAAGTGACCAAAATTGTCAAGTTTTTGAGATATTTCCTTTCTGTTATTAATGTAGTCAGAGACATATTTATGAAGAAAGTTGGTTGCTATGGCAACCATCAGATTATCATCATCATACCCTGACAAAAGAAATTTAGCCGTTGTAACTATCAAAAAAGTTTTGTTGTTCTTATCAATATTAGTGAGTATGGTTAACTCAGTGTTCTCTGAGGAGGGTACCGAGTAACTGTGTGTGTATAACGTAATGACGCTACTTTTTAACGTTAACGTTAACTATTAACGGCGGTCAATCAATGCCTTAATTTTCTCCTTAAATTAAGTTTTTCGGACAAATTGGTGTTATTTTTAAAAAATAGACATCCACAACATATAATCAAAAAAATAAAATTTATTTTTGAGCTGGGGCCGATTTTCGCCAATGGAGCCCCTACCTCTTTGTTCTTAGTTTGTGATTTTTGAGCCAGGTATGCTTTGTTGACCTCTTTCACTGTTCACGTCTATATGCTGTACTTTTACTGATCTAATCTAGACTTTCCCCATTTCCATATTTCGTCCGTTATATCCTATTTCTCCTCGTCCATTCTCTATTCCTTTGTTTTTTCCTCCGATGTAATACGGACCAGGATTTTTCACCGGCCCTCTTTCCTTTTTATTCTATAATTTGAATAAATAACCTTTTTTCATTTCTTTAAAAGTATACATTTTCTTAAATAAAATGCTGTATTTTGATTTTCACTATTATAAACTTATACATGCTAGCGGTTATAGATTTGATGTAAATGTTTTATCAGTTATGTTTGGAAAGCACTTTTTTTCATTTGTCACCTATGTAGTTTTTTCACAACATCTGATTTTACTCTGTATGATTTCTTTGAAACCTTTTTGCTGTTGTGATCACTAATGTTTATTTACCAACTTTTTTTTCTAAATGTCTTTAGTTTTGGGTCTTCACTTGGTGTGTTTACGGAGCAAACTTTGATGAAGACGCCCATCACGATCACAATCCCGACCACAATTAGCATCACACCCCACCAGTATTCCTGTAAAATAAACAGAACCACGAACCCGACTACAATAAGCATCACACCCCAACAGTGTTATTGTAAAAAATAAAAAAGAATCATGAACCCGACTTCAATTAGCAAAACAACCATCCAGTGTTCCTGTGAAAATAAACAGAATCACGATTCCGACTACAATTAACATTATACCCAATCAGTGTTCGTGTAAAAATAAAGAGAATTACGACTCCGACGCAATGATAAAAATAATAATTATATCCCTGATGGTATATAAAATCACCAGAATTGAAGTTTAATTACATACAATGATCCAGTTTTTAATTGTAGTGAGAGTTTCTTCTCCAAAGATCAAATTTTTCAGTCGTTCTAGAGGTCCCTCGTTATCCACCCCTCTACATCTGTGGAAAACGTCACAGTAGCCTTGATAGTTGTTACAGGGTGTGCCTAAAATGTACAAATTACGTCACAGTAGCCTTGATAGTTGTTACAGGGTGTGCCTTGAATGTACAAAATACAATACAATATCCATGCTAGGTGTAACAGGGTGTGCCTATAAAATATACAATTTTCGTCAGATTAGTCTTGAGTATTGATTCATTGTTTTCTTTTAGGTTTAATGATTAGGTTAAACAATTAGTGACAATTTCATATTTATTTCAGTATTTTTGTAATTATCAAACGAGTGAATCTAGTCCTCTTGGCTTATGACTTCATATTAACGAAAGACTTTTTTCTAATATTTGACTATTATCAGGTATTGTAAATTTACAAGACTTTATACTAGATAATTGATACGATAAATGAATTCATGTCGTTAATTTGATTTTTGTTGCTTGTTAAATTTTTTTATGACGTCACAATTAAAATTCTAATACGGAGAAATTGTATTTGCTTACAAGGTCATTGTATCGACCATAAAACTTTTTCCAAGTAAAATATCCAAATATGAAACAGATGTGTCAGACTCAAGCTCACTAAGATGTATCGTATCGACATAAAAATTGAATATTGAATACTGACCAACTAAATAAATTCCATGTAATTACTTAAAAGGTGGAAGTTGGCAATATAATACTTGAGGTTACCACAGTTATCACAAAGTTTAGCTGTTAGATTGACATCAGTGTCTTTCTCTAGCAAAATGTCTAGGTATGAGGCAATTGATTTAATCTTTGTTGTATCCTTATCTATAAGAAGGACATTCTTACCTGAAGCCACTGAAATGGGTGAAGTATGTTTGCGCAAACGCTTTACATCTTCAACTACTTTACTGATGCCTCTGTAATTTCCGAGTCGTCTGACACATAACATGTGTCGTTGCCATCTTTAAGAAAGGAAAAAATATTAAATTTTTATTTTCATAATATTCAATTTAGCCATAAAGAGTTTTGTTCTCACTGAAATGATTTAGTGAGGTAGAGTAGATTATGAAGCTGTTAGACTTATATGAATGAGGATGTTTTGCCTCTAAAACTTGAAATAATACGAGAAAATTTAAATATGCATGAATGATTTCTAAAAAGGATATGGAGATATAACGAACAGTATTCAAATAAAACAAGCTGTAATCAAGCTGTAAACAAGCATTGTATTTATTGAAAATGGTAAATTACATTTTTGATTGCCTAACTGAATAAATCAAGTTTAGGGAAAAAAATAGATACGACAAACGTAGTTTGCAAGCTTAATAACATAATTGTTCTTTTTGTACTACGGAGAGAGAGCCCGACATGCTGATGTAGCATTCATCCCATGACGAAATCCATGGATCAGGTGATGACGTATTGTAATAACCTATTCGCTTACAGAGAGAACCCTCACAAATCTACAAACAGAAAATAATTGCGTATAACTCTTGTAAAAAGGAGCCTGTCTCTAATCAAGCCTATGGAGCAAATTCTTAGAAAATGATCTATAAATTTATTACATTGAAAATAACACTTTCAAGTGAATCATTTACACCTTGGAAATTTTAAGTTCAGTTCTACTCACTATCTTACCGTTCACGGTAGCTCAGTCGGTAGAGCGCTCGCTCCGTGATCGGGAGGTCGTGAGTTCGTATCTCGGCCGCGACTGACCCAGTCGATAAAATGGGTAGCAACTGTTCCTTCGCCATGCGCTCGGCACTTTGAAGTGAAAGTTGCGGGTCCTTCGGATGAGACCTTAAAAACCGAGGCACCGTGTCAGCGACAGGCGTTGGAACGATAAAGATCCCTCACTGCTCAATGGCCCTGAGTGCCGAGTAAAGGTCAAAATTTGAAGCCCTTCACCGGCATACGGTGACGTCTCCATATGAGTGAAAAATTCTCGAGAGGGACGTTAAACAATATACAATCAATCAATCTACTCACTATCTTAATGAATTAACTTACATGTACATTTTTTTTAGATTTCAATATCATTTTAAAATAAATGTAGAAAACGCTATGCTCAAAAGTAATACATACAGTCTTACCCCGTTTATGCAGACTTGGGTGAAGTAATTGCAGGAGTCATGTCCGGTTTATTTTCAGAAAATGGACACTCTTCGCTTGTTCCGGTATACAAGTTAAGAAGTAATGTTCGTAATTTTCAATTTTGTTTGATTCTCAGAACCATATTTTCATAGAGGTAAATGCATTCCTATTCTATATTCATTAATTGTTTTTTTTTTAAACCCTATGAATTAAAAAAAATAAATAAAAAAAAATAGCTCTTAGATACACTCTTTTAATCAACATCTTTTGCTCTAGATTGGCATTGCTTCCAAAAAATTTTGAGCTTGTTTATTCGTCGTTTTCATTATATTTCATGTCTAGGAATAGTAAACTTCACAACCTTTATACTTTTCAGTAATATCCTTTTACATTGTAAACGTAATATCATGGCTTAGTTCTTTATTTCTCTTTGCACGCATTTTCAATGTAATTGCTAACACTATTTCAAACATTTTTGGGGGGTTTAGTTCAATTATTTTGTCTTTGATTATAAATAATATTGTTAGAAGATTCAAAAAAAAAAAAATGAACATACTTCTGTTTTTCGGAAAAATTTCTAAAATTTCATAAAAAGAAGCTGAAGTGTAACTAGTAATTATTGTTTGGAAAAGGATATTTGCATTTTTCTTCTAGACTACAATCTGTGGAGGTTCGACAGGTATAGATATTAGCTGGTTTATAATTACAATCCTCAGTACAACATGGTCCTTCTGTTGGACTACAAAGAATACAAGACAGGTAGAGGTATTAGCTGGTTTACAATCACAACTCTCAGTACAACAAGGGTCTTCTGTTGGATTACTAAGAAAACAAGACAGTTAGAGGTATTAGATGGTTTATAATCACAACTCTCAGTACAAGAATCTTTATTGTGAGTATCCCCTGCTGACTGGTACGCCCGCTGTGTGCTTCTTGTCGTGATCAGGAAATAATTGAAAAATCAAGAATCTTAATTGTGTGATAAATGTGAAATATATTTCTTGTTGACTAGATATAAACAGAATTCTTGTTCATCCATGAATTAGTATTCTCCAGGAAATAATATTCTACAGCTTCAAAGTCATATTCATTTTGTAAATATCAGTGATGTACATAAAATCATTTCCCGAGACAAACCTGTCAATTCTAAACAAAGTATGAAATTGTTCCTTACGAATTTAAATGATTCAACAGTATTTAAAAATGATTGCTTTTCAAAACGAAACTCAGTCTCAACCATTGTATGTTATAAAAGGTTAAGAATACATGACTTGTATAATTTTATTCTACAGACATCTGGAAAGAAGATTACAATTTTAAAGTATGAGCATTCGAAGATACAAAAGTAATATTTCCCTAAACCAATTTCAAATTTTCATTCTAAATTTAATGTTTTCCTAATTTGTTAGGTATGATATGAATTCAAAATAATAAAAAAGAAATAATCATTGCCTCACCTGCATTTGAATGACGGATCTCTGTATGTACACATCAGTTTGTCGTTTGGGTCGCTGCTCCGAGGGTGGCAGCACCTCTCTGTACATTCATCCTTATATCCGCAATCACACTGCTCCCCCGACTACACTATACCATTACCACAAAATGCCGCACCCGATGCTAAAAAGAATTTTACTCACATTTAATCTTTTTTTTATTTTATACAAGGCAAACTAAAATTAGATCTAATAATATGTTTATCAATACATGTATATATTCCTTATTTTTTCAACTCCCTAACTTAGATATTTTTGAAATCTAAAAGAATATGAAGAGAGAGAGTAAACCTATGAAAACGATTAATAAATGAACCTATTATATTGAGAAATAGTATTTCTCACTCCCTATCATGACTTCATCAACCAATTTTACTTTTTACTTTAATGCATACAGTAACACTAAGAAGACAATAACATTAAATCAGTAGGATTATGCTAATTTCTCCTATGATATGTGCAGTAAGGTGACAGTAACATTTAAAACAGTCGAATAATGTTACTTTCTCATATGACATTTACAGTAACATTAATGTGACACCTTTCTCATATGTTATACACAGTACATGTAACTATAAGGTGACACTAAAATTTTAAACAGTTAAATTATGTTACTTTTCTCCTATGATAAAAACAGTATCAGTAAGGTAATACTAACATTTAAACCAGTTGGATAACGTCACTTTTCTTCCATGATATATACAGTAACTATAAGATGACACTAATATTTAAAGCAGTTGAGTTATGTTACTTTCTCCTTTCATATATAATAACAATATGTGACACTTTCATTTAAAGCATGTGGATTAGGTCAGTTTATCCTTTGATATATACAATAAGATGGCATACTAACATTTAAAGCAGTTGGATTATGACACTTTTCTCCTACAATATAGTCGCCCTCGTGGCGCAGTGGTTAGAGCGTCTGCTATAGAGTCGCGAAGTAAGGAGTCAATCCTTACGTCGGGGGTTCGAATCCACTGGGAGACGTGGAGACCGGTCCTTCGGATGAGACCGTATAAACCGAGGCCCCGTGTCGCAGTAGGTGCTGGCACGAAAAAGATCCCTAACTGCTCAAAGGTCCTGAGTGCCGAGCATAGGACAAAAATTTGTAGCCCTCCACCGGCAAGTGGCGGCGTCTCCATATGAGTGAAAAATTCTCGAAAGGGACGTTTAACAACATACAATCAATCAATCCTACAATATATATACAGTAACTAAATAAGGTGATACTAACATTTAAAGCAGTTGGATTATGACACTTTTCTCCTATTATACATACAGTAACTATATAAGGTGATACTAACATTTAAAGCAGTTAGACTTCCCATTCCTCTCGTTCACTACTGCCTCTTAGACTAACGTGATGTTTCCTTTACTACACTCAGAGAAATGATCGTTGTTAGGGCGGTTACCCTTGGTCGCGCTTGGATACATGATTAAGTTACCCCGATCTTCTCCAGGTACGCAAATATATCCACTATCATGCCGAAAAGAAATAACATAAGTTTACTTTTCTCTAACTAACGAAATTAAAAATATAACATATGAATTATCTATTCAAAGATAAATAAACATGCATCATGCTGTGCAAATGTTAATCATAATTAATAGAATATATTTTAAACAAATATTAATTAATTTGACCAGGTAAAAGAAATGTTTGAATGAATAGTGAATAAAGACCTAAACTTGATATAATTCACACGTATTGATTAAAAGACAAATATGTATGTTTCAAAGCCTTATATGACGTTCATAAAGCCTTTTCTATCGTACATAATTATATTTGTATCAAATTATTTTCAACTGTGTGTCAACAAATGTCGTCTATGGTTAGGAATATGGAAGTGAAATAATGTATCAGGCAGCCAAAGTTGTGGGCGAACTAGAGGTATGAGACAAGCAGTTGAACACGGCGGACGTATTTATAATGGCCTACTTACAAAACATCCAAAGTTGTGTCTCACTTCGTAAGGGAACGTCTAGTGTGACATGATTCTATTGTGCAAATCTTTCCTTCCTCTGTTCTAAAATCATGGTGAATACATTAATCTATTAAAGAGGAAACTTCCGGTTTTTTTTACATCCTGTATATTTCTTGGTCTCTGGGTCATTATCAAAAATACACACATTTTTGCGTCTGTGTCAATTTGAACGGAAAAAAAACATGTTTGAGGCGAAATTTAACAGTATCATAAGGCTTTAGAAACGAAATTCTTTTATTTTTAAATACATTCATTTATAATTTTATTGCTTTAAGTAATATAAACTATTTTATAACAAGATATGAGTTACTTCATGCTGTCAATGCATTCTGTCAATTGTCTTTAGCCTACAACAACTTAAAAATAATATTTTCTAATTCATTTATCTAACCTTTGGAAAATATCATAGAATGTGTCTTTCTAAAAACTGTTTCAGCAATTTTTTTTCCAACTCAGTTTTATTTATTTGACTTTAATGTACGAATAAGAAGGGGTAGATTTTTATTTTGGGGGAAAGCGAGATAACTCTATTAATATTTTCCGACTCCTTGACCAGAAGAGATGAGTTCCCAAGTTATTAATTTTTCCATTGCCATATGTGTGTCATCTTCTTCTATCCTCTTCAGGTGATATTATATTATTTACAGTTTATTACGTCTTTTATCTGTATGCTCGGTTCCTGTTTTGTATTGTTTTATGGACTTTGATATTGAATACGTTCGTTATCTCCATATCCTTCTTCCTTACATTCTTCCCTACAGTTTATTACGTCTTTAATCTATAGAACGAGACTGATGTTTATGTTAGGAACATTTTGTGACTCAATATGAGAATACTAAATGTATGAATTAGTGTTACAGAAGGGGAACGTTACATTCAATGTTTTGTAAAAAAAAAAAATTTCTGGTCCCTAATATTTTTTTGTTAAGTCGTGTTAGTGTGGATGTGGGACAGTGAAGTGAGGAATTTGTTTGATTTATACCAAATCAAATAAAAAATAGTTCATATTATATTGTCTTAACTTTTTATCAGTAATTAAGAATAATTAATTATAAAGATCAAAAACAATTTATATGCAGCAATAACATGTCAGTAAAAAAAAGTTCAGCAGGAGTTTAACTATATTTTAAACTTTCCCTGGGTTGATATTGATTTTTGGAGAGAGAGAATGAGAGATAGAGAGAGAGGGAGAGAGAGATGAACGGAATGGAAGATAGTGGGCACCTGCAGTTAGCGAATAACTTAATCTTGTGAAAAAAAATGTTAATGAAACCTAAATCAAATAAATAATGATTACGAGTATAAATTGATCAAATAGCCAAAGAAATTTGCATCATTCAAAAAACTTACACATTATTATAAATCCTTTTTAAGTATACTAGATATTTTTTTTTCATGTAACGTGTGTTTATGGGGGGGGGGGGGTATACATGTATGCTAGAGGGTTCGAAATAAATATTTTTGAGCACTGGTTCGACGGACTAATGACTTCCAATTTTTACTACTTCGTAAAATATTTTACTAGACAAGTCCGCCTTCTGTCTTATTATAATGTTAATATCATAACACCCCCTACGCCTATCTACTTTAATGAGATAAAATTAAATTTCTGCACATATAATAAAATTAATTCCAATTCACCGATACAGGTGTAGAAACAGGGGAAAATGGAAGGTTTGAAACATGTAATATTTTTGTTTAAATTGAATCATGATTAAAAAATACTTAAAGATCAAGTTTAAAAACTAAATCGTGAGCTAACCCCCACCCTCATCCCGACAATGTGAATAAACCTATCACTTGTCAAGTAATTTAAAGTGTCAATACTGTTTGTATCTTTGAGAGAGATAGAGAAAGAGAGAGAGAGAAAAAAAATATTAGAGATAAATGATGCTACTGCTTATATTAATCTCACCGCTGACCTAGTAAATATAAATATTTTCCGTAAGATTACTGTAATTGCTAGTACATGAATTTTTATTACAAGTTTGATGAATATTTATTAGTCTCGGACTTACAGACATTGGGTACTTATTTCATAATGAACCCTGCATAATGTTTTAAGTGACAAAATTAACAAGGCATAGTACAAGTTTATATATGGAACACTACATTGTTCAATAGGGGTACTCCCGTATGAGCAAATGAAACCGGAAATCCTAAACAGGGGTATCTAATTATATGACTTGTACAGATCTCCGAGAACATTAAGAAACTGAATTAACTATCAGTAATTATTCAATATTTAGAAGATTTTCAACAAGAGACATCTGTTTTGTTTGTGAAAAGAATTTTTTAAATTAATACAACTTTCCGATCGTGAAAGCAGGGGGGGGGGGGGGTAACTCTACATTAAAATCAGATATCTGTCTGCAAAGAAATAAATGGATTAAAACTAACTTGATGAATAATTAATTTTAATTCTTTAACTGAACAGAGATAGATATATTCAACACATAAATTTTAAACTTGATTTATACATAGTTAATTTCAAATCATATTCTGAATTATTTTACAGATATCAATAATATTTAGATTAAAAAAAATAATAGCTGCCTGGGATTTTTTCATCAAAAAATAAAATAAGACTGTTTTTAAATACAAAGTATATCACACAGTCATTTTCACACCACTGCAGCCTCCCCGAGAGCGAGAACAATAGGGACAGTATTTATCAGTAAATGTCAGCACTTGTCTAAGTTTTTCAGCAGGGACAGTAAGCGGGTCAGTAATTGTCTAAGTTTTTCAGCACCGACTAAGATTGTCAGCACTTTTCTAAGTTTATCAGTACCGGCAGTAAAAAAGTTAGTAATTGTCTACGTTTTACAGTAACGACAGCACATTGTCAGTAATTTTCTAAGTTTGTCAGTAAAAAATGGGAATGTCAGTACGTTTCTGACTTAGTAGTGTACACACCGACCAGACTGTCGGCTCCGTGTCTTTCTCCATAGTCGATCCTAGAAAAATACAATTAGTAAGAAAATGTCATGAAATACAGTGCATATAATTAGTGTTTATAAACAGAGTCTCTCATTCATTGCCATTGTAACAAACATTATGATAGCATTTCTATTACGCGCTTTCATACATCATATGAGATTGCATTTCTTCGGCTACAAATATATTAATATTTAACCCGTTGATCTTGACCTCTGAGTATAATTTTTTTTTTTCAAAAATTTTAACAAACATTAACCTTAGCCATAACTATTGACTTAATCAATTTTTGTAGA